GAATCCCGGAGTGGGAGACAAGCGTCCTGGATCCCACTCATGACAACCATCCATCTCTGCTTACAATAAGAGTTCTATTTTCAGAATATTGAATTATACAATGAATATCAAGTAGTATTTACCACTCGGCTTAATACAATAGAATTTGAAAAAGCTTGACAAACATACAATGAATGTAACAAAAAAACAGTAATTTGCTTTAGGAAAACAAGGGTATAGAATACAAACAAAATGACTAAACAATGAGTTCAATTGAGGATAATTTGTCAGAACAAACACGTTTTTCAGTAATATCAATAATAATAATTTCTTTTCAGTCTAATAAATACGTTTTCTTAATAGTTGTATTCATAAGTCGTTCTAAGCCAGACCACAATTGAAAGTCCGGAAGCATTAGACTGTTATTTCGTCCTAGTACAAGACTCCTTAGTGGTGCAAGTCCACGATCCCGCATGCGGGACTCGAACCCAGGAGCTAACATCCAACGGTGTTAACGTCTAACTTCGATCGATCGACGATCTTGCGCAACTCAATGTAAATTGGAAACATGTTCGTTTCTTAAATTCTCACCACGTAATCTGTATTATACTATCGTGTTCTACACAATACCAGATAGCGCAAAGTGGATTTTTTTAGGGGTTTGCCTACAAGCTCATTGCAAAACCTTATTTTTACACAATTCCGATATAAGATGGTGGTACTGTACTTAAACCATTTATAATCTGTCAGGGCAGTCAAATGGTATGTTCAGCGATTCCATAAAATATGCGCCCATAAGTTCACAAGTTTGCATTTCGTCACTAAATCACATTAATTTACATTGCGCGACTACCTACTGAGTTTGGTGAGTAACTAACTGCATCACAATCAAAATGCTTAAACTAAACAGATCACGGTTTCTCACTAAAACTACGGAAATACTATCATAAACAAGAATGGATAAAGATTCAAATGTGAGATCATATTCTCAGCCAAATTATCTATCTAGTTGAACATAACTCGATTTTGTAACACTGATCACTGGTCGCTGAACCATTGACTGCAACTTGTCAAGGTTAATAATGGTCAGTGCTGATTAACTACTAAATGCATGAATGACTTTAGTATGTATAGAAGCTTGGTAATAACCTGTCTATGTAATATTCTTTTAAACGATCTTCTGAAATATATATTTACTAGGTAAGACTCTATTTTACAATGAATTATACGAAAAGGATAACCTCACCATTGCGTTACAGTGAGACAGGATAACAAGTCAGCTTCAGCTTAACGCAACATAAGTGGAAGCAGCTATACTCTTACAGAAAATTTTCCTTTCGATGAAATCATTTACTTAAACCGTACGTTCATATATATAATTAGATGGAAAATAAATATCTATAGAAGGATAGAAAAAGATTGTATCATAAGTTGATTCGAAACTAAGTTACGCAATAATCAAACGGATAAGAAAAGAATATAAGAATGAAAATAATTCACGGATCAGAATTATGAAAGTTAATTGTCTAGTTGACAGATATGAAGAAAACCAACAATCATAGAGTTATCAGTATGGGGTTGTGCAGATTATCAAGTTATTAATCGAGATATCATATCATGAACCGATTATTGTTAGATCATCATTGAAAACCTGATCTGACATCAATCAGTTCATGATCACAATCAAAAACATTGAGTTCATAATAATAATCATGAAAACGTGTTGAAGGATAATCATAACTGATCACAGTTTAAAATGACAAAAACACCAATGAAAGAAAATCAATAATACCAATAAAAATAAGGAATGAAGAAACATGGGAAAACAGTCGAAACATTACTACAACAAAAGGGAATTGGAGCCAATGAAGAATGAGAGGTTGAATGCATCGCGTTTTTGCGTGCAAAGTTCGGGCTTGAGTTAGTGGATTGCCAATGCCTCAATGGTGCATAAGATTTTGATTTGACTTCATTTCGATCGAATCCCTTTGACTGCGTAGATTGTTTTATAAGAGAACTTCTTTGGAGCGTTGTATCCATAGTCGACTAAATGCTCCTGTATTGAACTAGTAGTTGTTTTGCTTTCTCTTTTTAAAAGCCATTCTGGATTTACGTTCTAAGATGCGTTTAGAATGTGATCACTCTGTGCGGCCAATGTTACCTGATCCACATGAGCAAATAAATTTATCGATGTACATTGATGTGACTCAGAGCAGAGGTTTATCCTTAACACATCTGTGAATGGTATACCGGCTTGAGAAAACAATTCGGAGCTTAGATGAGTAGAAATCTGTTTATTCAAGATCTCAGCATCCATATCTCTTTTAAATTCTATATTCATAAGGATAGTTTTCCTTTGCATTGTTGGTGCTCTTTACGGATGATGTCTAGGTGTTATATTACTATCGATAAATCTAGGTGGGTAACCATTCCTAATGAGAGTCTATCAATGTTAAAATAATTCCTCATCTATTGTGTCAATAGAAAGTATTCGACTGTTCCTTGAGAATAGAGAGTGAATTAAGTTCCAGCTATTGAAATTTGTGCACTACCCATTTCTGGTTGGTTTTCTATATATATATTACCACAACTGAATTAACTACTTTTATGAATCTGGTGTCCATCTTGTTGTGTTAATGAGGTATGGCAACTTGGACCGATGCATATATGTGCCTGGTCCTACTTTGTAGCTGACTGACTGACTTCTATGTATAGATCTCTGTAAAAAACTAACCTTCTTTTCAATCAGATATCAAGAAAAATGAAAGTTCTCATATGCCTCGGCTTCCAGTGTGAACTGAATTGAGGGGTGACATTATTTATTTATTTATTTAAACACATAAATCCTGGTACAAGAGGGCACCAAATATATATGCGCCACACCATATTTGTGTGTGTGGGCTGTGATACTGCCCGAGTGCCCAAACCAAAGCAGGTGGTTTTCTTACGGGGCCACCCCCCGAGCCTTTAACCTTAAGGTCTGATCCACAAGGCAGTGGAGCATCGTAAGGAGATGCAGTCCCATGGTAGCCGGTGACCAACAATTCGTTCATATGCCATTTGTTCCCTCAGGATACTGGAGCCAGCCCATGTGCACCATTGGTTTGGGATCCGGTTAAAGCGCCAAACATTCACTTTTCGTCCTCTCATTTTCGTAAACAACACCTCCGCCACGAGGAGGCAATGAGTAGAACTTCTCTGGCAGATGCTGTATACGCGTGGTCGTGTGAGAGTATTTCGAGAGGGAGGGTGGGCCCACCCCATACTCAGCCATACCAGGGCATTTGGCGGCTTGAGGAGTGACAATTATTGAAACTATTCAAAATTTCATTGCGTGCAAAAACGCGATGCATTCAACCTCTCATTCTTCATTGGCTCCAATTCCCTTTTGTTGTAGTAATGTTTCGACTGTTTTCCCATGTTTCTTCATTCCTTATTTTTATTGGTATTATTGATTTTCTTTCATTGGTGTTTTTGTCATTTTAAACTGTGATCAGTTATGATTATCCTTCAACACGTTTTCATGATTATTATTATGAACTCAATGTTTTTGATTGTGATCATGAACTGATTGATGTCAGATCAGGTTTTCAATGATGATCTAACAATAATCGGTTCATGATATGATATCTCGATTAATAACTTGATAATCTGCACAACCCCATACTGATAACTCTATGATTGTTGGTTTTCTTCATATCTGTCAACTAGACAATTAACTTTCATAATTCTGATCCGTGAATTATTTTCATTCTTATATTCTTTTCTTATCCGTTTGATTATTGCGTAACTTAGTTTCGAATCAACTTATGATGCAATTCGCTTGGTGTTGTTTTATTTTTATCTTCCCATTGCTATTTAGGACTACAATTGATTAGTCTCTCGTTGGCATATGTGCACTCTGTACGGACTGCCTCGATATTGCCTGAAATCACAAGCTTTTTCAGAAAAAATGGATAGTGGCTAGCAATGGAATCCAATTTGACCCGCGTTTCGTCCTATTTGGGACTCTTCGGCTGGATTCACCTGCATCCCAGAGTTGATGTCCACTTCGGGACTCGAATCCAATAGCGTTCGCTGCAATCTTTACCATACTTCTATAGACATATATTTTCCATATAATTATAAATACGAATGTACAGCTTAAATAAATGATTCCCTCGAAGAGAAAATTTTCTTACAGTTAACTTCAAAGTATGATTTAAACTAATAGTTATGGGATATAGGTGAGTTCATTATATTGATTTTGGTTTGATCCTATGAGAACAAAAATGCAACCGTAAGTACGTTTCTAAATATATTTTTAAGATTAATGGATTTTCACATTTAAGAAGTGTGTTCAGAAAATTTCTGATACAAAAGGAAATGAATCGAAATTAATAAAAATGATTATGTCAGTTGTTGAGATCATGAGTCATTTGAAGCTAGACCACCATGGAAAATCTAGAAGCATTGGATGGCCGTTTTGTCCTGTTGTCGCACTCTTCAGCAATGCGCATCCACGATCACACCTCGCGAGATTCGAACCTAGGACTTATCAGTCTCGAGCGCAAGCGCTTCATCTCTAAACCACTGAGCCGACCGGAACCCAACGGTGTTAATATCTAACTTCAACTAATCCACCAAATTGAGTGACGCATCCACCACTGTTTTCAGTGAGTTCCTATCTCACAACAGACCCGGTTGTACTCCACCGCTCTCTGGTTCTCGCTAGAACTCCAGGAAATACTCTTTGAAGCCAGTCACTAGTAAACATATGTTGAAATTAATATGTACTAAACAGTTATGAACACTAACTATTTTCAATGTCATACTAATTTAACCATCTCTAAGTAATATGACACTTGACAATACAGAGCCAAACAAACAAACAAACATATACAATTGCATACCTCTCACAAAAGTACATACTTTCTTATGAATAGTAATGAGAATAAATGATCATATATGAATATGCAACTTACCAGTTATTCAAATAATGGATATACAGGATAGATAGATGTTAGGAGTATGATCTTTTTTGTTCAACGATCACGAAACATGAACTATTTATAAAAGAAAAGAAAGATCATGACTTTATTTACATGAAGTATGTATTAGGATATGTACTTTACTTTGAGTCAAAAGGAAATTACGGCAATCTTATAGGGAACAGTTAAAATTAGACTAATTTGATGCTAATGACCTGAACTACATACACAGAATAAAACTAGATTTTCTTATGAATGTGTTTTATATAATTATAGGTTAAAGGAATTTCTTTTAAGAATAAGAGATATCAGAAAGGGGTTTTGTAGATACTGTAAGTAATTTTTAATAGTTGAGATCATGAGTCAATTGGAGGCTAGACTATCATGTAAAACCTGGAAGCACTGGAGAGCTGTTTGGTATTAATGTGGGACTCCTCAGAAGCGATCTAACTTTAATTGACTCATGATCTCAACTATTGAAATAAGAGATATCTTTAATGTTTAAATTTAGATTGATAGTTAAGATATCACTAATATTTTCGTTTATTAACATTTTTATAACGAAAATATAAATGGTGAGAGTATTGAATTCTGACCCACTTGTTAACTTGTGGGGCCCTTAATCTAACCGTCATTTAGGTCGGACGATGGTGTCGAAAAGGCTCTCCACATTAGTGACCCGAGATCTGACTCCAAGAAGATCGTATGAACGATTGTTATCGCCTGTCCTCGTATATAATCATCGACTTGAATCGCGTTAGTCAATAACGGATTTAGATAAGTCAAATAATAAGAATGAACATTTGAATACACATATTTTGTATATAAAGCGAATGGGATAGAACAAAGCAAAACGCGCAGTGGAGATGGTGGGTAAGCCAACTCCCCTTCAACCAAGCATTAGTCAATATTTATAGTTACACAAAAGTTACAGACATGTGATGAGTAATGGAATAAGGAGTGCACACACACCTACGCGCTCATACAAAAACGTTCAAGATTGATAAGCGAATAATTAACAAGGTAAGAATGTAACTCAAGTAGAATGAATAGAATGAACTGACCGGAAGTTAAAATATGGTATATGGGCTTTACATAATAACCAACACTACAAACTGAACTCTACAAATGAACTTCATGTTTATTCAGAAATAGTCAGACTTTTACAAATTAACCAGTATGAATGTTCTTCTATACCATATCATAGAAACACATTTGACGTAAAACACAAATCACTAAGTAGATATACAGAAGTTATTAACGAGTAAATTTAAAAGCTTAGATGAAAAGTTTTTATACTACTTATAATAGGACACTCCAGATGATCTCTTATTTTATTGCACTATGCATATATGTGTGCATGTAAGTAAAAATGATCTTGCGAAATCAGTCAGTAATATTTACACAGTAAAACAACTATTTTTGCTTTAAAACAGAATTCTTATTTGTTAAAACTAGATTTAGAAGGGGTTCTGTGAACTCAACCGGGTCTGTTGTGAGATAGTGACGCATTGAAAACAATGGTGGATGTGTCGCTCAATTTCGTGGCTTACTTAAAGTTAGACATTAACACCGTTGAAGATCGGCCGGCTTAGTGGTCTATAGATTAATTGTTCGCACACTAGACCAATAGACCCTGAGTTCGAACCTCGCGAGGTTGGATCATGGATGCGCATTACTGAGAAGTCCCACAACAGGACAAAACGACCGTCCAATAATTCCAGGCTTCCACTAGTACACCAGTTACAATTAACTCATGATCTCAAAATAAAAAACAAAATCTAGTCCGGTTGGAATTATACCACAATTATTTATAAATAAATAAATATACTACTGTTTTATAATGACAAAAGAAAAAACTATAACATTTCTATTAAACTATACAGGTAATCAATAATATTGATTTTGGATTGATTTCATAATCATGTTTTCATTTTCAAGGCTCAATTAATTAATGAACCCTAATCAGCTGATCAATCAATATTTATAGATTATTCGACAGTATTTCCAAAGAAACAAACAAAACACACATTCGAATCGAAAAGATCATTGTGTATAGTAAAAACGTTTACCATGTATTGCACATCAACTGACATAATAAATAAGCTATTTGGCATCAAAATAACAGATTATTAAATGTAATAAGGATGAATTACCCCTCAAAAAGCAAAACTATCTATGGATAACAATCATCAATATTATTTTTGGAAAAACAAAACACATCGGTATTACATGGATGTGGGAGAAATATTATTCTTACAAATAACCATTACTCAAATTACAATTAGAAAAGACATTCACAAACGAGTTCACAATCTCACATCATTCGATTCAAATCACTCACCATAGACAACATCAAATCACTTCACTTATCTAAATGGTTGAGTATCATCATTTGCATTGACCAATACCTGCGGTGTCATGTCATGTCATTCAAAGTAGTCATCAAAACTCAATCAAGTAAACAGTCCAATAGTGGTAGCACAACACTATTCCTCAAATCCACTGGCAATCATCAACATTCATTCTATATACATGTTTCACTGTAACCATCAACATTCACTACAATGCTTCTCTATTCACAACAAACCTCTCAGTAGTTCTCTTAACCATCAATAAACCAATCACATATATACACTGTTTGTTTGCTTACTAGGTTGCTCACTGTGATTCTGGCTCACTGATGTTCTAAGCAAACCATCATTCAGAATTCATCAATGATGTAACACTCATCTACACCGATCAGTATTTCAATATACATTTCAACGAAATATCGATTGTCATTTTAACAGAACAATCGCATGACAAACATCATTAAATACTCGCGTTACTCAGCATGATATGAACTCAATAAGGTCAAATTCATATGATTGATTATTAGTTAAGTTAAACACGTTTGAATGTGGTTATCCAAATGTCATTCATAAATTGGGTTCGTTTTAAGTGAGGAAGTTGGTGAAACACCATACATCAGAACATCACAACATAAACCAAACATCAAATTGAATTGATGTAGAATGGACGGAACATAACTGGCAGTGCAACACACGACACCAATATCATCATATTTGCGACAGGTCATCTGGATGTATCTTCCTTCCCACAATTGATGTTCGCTTCACTACCATCTGTTTCGAACTCCATCGTGTCACTCACTTAGTCACTGAGTCTAGACAGATAGTCACTTAAACAACGGGATAATCAAAATCAATTCAAACTCAATTGTTTATTGACACGTCACAACAGGTTCACAACTGATAACTGTACAGTCAATCCTGTGTCAGTACAATGCATCAACAACAACCACATCGAAACATGTTAACAGTGAGCAATCTCAACCACGTCGTTTTCAGTCGTTTCGAATAACTATTAACAACACGTTCAATCGTGATCTAATATACTTCGAATTCAATGAATCAATGTAAACGGATAATGCAAACTCTGGAATACAGAAAATCTTCAGACATCAACTAACATATAATCAATATCGTCAATCTCTATTCCACAATTGAACATCCACTATCATTCATTTAGTCACGAGTTGGCAGACCATCGATGTATTGATCACATTGTGTTACTGTAATTTACTTAGTTCATACTGACAATTCGTTACAACAGCACGTTTCAACCTTCATCTAATTCGGCATCGACATTTGTCGTTTGATGGCTAACCAACACCACCAACCACATTATCTGGCCAACAAATACTCGAATTCAATCTCAAGTTAAACTATCACAAAATGGAATGAATATTATTTCTGAAGATAATACACTGAAGAAAACAGAAATTTCAATGAGATCAGCAGTTCTAATGAGAGACGTAAAAATTCCTATAGAGGTGAATCAAGTTCAGTATGACTATCACTCCGCTGCGCTGCATTCATGGAAACTCAAACTGAAATGGTCTCTGGTGCTTTACGAGTTCTGAATTACTATTCTAGTGATTGATGATGAAATGAACTTGAGAGAGTTGTGTTTAACCACTGATTCAATAAAACGTATGATTTTGAGATATTTGTGGAAAAACGAGTGGTCATTCATTGAAATATATTATTATTACTATATATTTAAACTTAAACGGTCTTCAAAATTATTGGCATATTGAAAGGCAAGTGTAATTTATAACATTAAGCATTTATTTTTATTTATTTTTAACACACATATTGGTACAAGGAGGAACTAAATACATATGCGCCACACAAATCTCATTCGATATGTGTGAGGGCTGTAATACTGTCCGGGTTCCCAAACCGAAGCAGGTGGTTTTCTTAGGGGGCCACTCCCCGAGCCTTCGACCTGAAGGTCTGATCCACAAGGCAGTGGAGCATCGTAAGGAGATACAGTCCCATGGAAGCCGGTGACCAACACTAAGTATACGTAGTCATATTATTTACAATTATGTTATGCTATAATTTGTGCCTATATTGTGAGGAATAACTATACTAACCAGCTGGCACGTCTCATACTCATAATTTAATGATGTAATTAGGACATTTGTATTTATGTAGAGAATTATCTCGATCAGACAAGCAAAACAGAATGAGTGAAGTAATTTGCAAGTGTTTTTGAATTATTGACATAAGGGTAGTATTTTCCGTAAGTATTGTGGTCGCTATTGTTCTCGTTTTTTTTCTTTTACGCCCCTTACCTTCTTTTTTCCTCGTCCCATTCTCATTGTTCTATGTGGGGCATATCTATTTGGTGCCCCCTTGTACCAATATTTATGTGTTCAAATAAATAAATAAACATAAGGGTAGGCTTACAGTACAACTCGCATCAAAATTAAATCGAACAGGAATAATTATTCGTTTATTTTCGAGTATACATTTCTGCGTAATGTAAAGTTTGTCAATCACATTGTAGTTTTTTTCCTGATATTGTTTACTTTGCACTACCACTCATTCACCAGACACAGGTTTAAGTACTATTCACCCACTTCGGTTTGAGAAGTTTGACAGTATGACTAGCTCTGAAATAAAGTGTTACTCAAATTAGGTAACTATCGTACTACCTGTCTAACAATCTTATAAAAGTATCTCCCTTATTCGACGATTTAAACACATCTGGATGTGAAAGCTATCAGTTAGACATGACATGACCATCTTATATTTTTATTAATACTGGAAAATTCACTTTTGTCTAATGTTTTCCGCTGAGTTCAATCATAATAATTAATAAATGTTCTCTTTGTAAGATTGATATATCAATCTCTACATCTACGGAAAACCAGCTTAGCGAAGATTTAAGACTGTTTTATATAATCCAACTAATATCCATAATCAATCAGTCACAACGTTCAACCTGGTATGTATGTACATCAATTCGAGTTCCATACTCCATTAGCATAGAGAAATGAAATTGTCAGGCCAAATCCCCGAATAGTACAGGAAGTAATAATAACAGTGTTGATTAAAAAGATTAGCCATCGAAGATACCATTCAAGGAAATATATATCAATGAAATAAAAAAAGAACCCGAAGAAATTCAGAAGTTTAAAACTTGGGGGAAGAAAAAGAATAGATGCACCTGAACCACTTCAAACGATTTCGAACTATGTCATTCAAAGTGTCTAACCATTGGTTAGAGATAATCACACAGATTGTAATCAGGTAATCTATACCTATTAATATAGTTATAATTCCAATTGTCAATAACTTCATGCACTGATACCATGTTTTTGGTTTAGCCACGCCTAGAGCTTTCTTCCAGCCTACACCTATACCCCTCACAAAGCATTACCCATCATGGTAGGCAATCGTTGGACATTTGTAAAAGATCAGTAATAGGTTATTTACTATAAACCGAAATCACAACAATAATAGTGAAGATGGAAACAACTAATTTGTTAGTGAGATTAGTGGATACAAACATTAATCAGTACAATAACATAGTACAAAATCTAAGCATGTTAACTCTAATTTATGACAGAATAAATCTTGATAGTTTATGATCACATGGCCATTATGTTAAGTAATGTATGTTCATTGGAAAAACAATAATTCACTTTTATGCAAGACCACTTGTAACGATAATAATAATAATAATAATAATAATAATAATAATAATAATAATAATTATTATTATTATTATTATTATTATTATTATTATTACTGTAAGTGAGGTGAAGGTCGGCAATTAAAGGTCAATAGTTGTTGTTAGTTCTATTAAACACGGTGAAAGAAAAACAGTGAAGTAAAATCGGTAACCACTTAAAACACTATGTTGTTCATCACAGATTTAGCTATACTTACATTAGAATGCTTGTAAGGCTAAAACTGAGACTGAAAGAAGAAACTGGTAAATACTAAGTATTAGTTTTGACCTATCAGAATGAATGAATGAATGAAGAAAATTTAGATCATTGCTACTTATAAGGTTAAGTGAAATTAAATGAAGTCACTATATCAGTCACTGAAGTCGAAAGTTTTCTATGTTATGTAATTCTAATAGATTGTAAAGAGATGCTGAAATTCTTACTTGCTGGTTCGAACACTGCTACACTTCTCTTTACTTGAAGATCTGATAGTCATGAAGAACTAGCTTTGGTTGGTGACAATATCCCACAGGCTATCTAACTTCATTTAAACAATTTCAATACCATAATAGCATTATAGATAACGCATTTCGGAAAATGACAACAATATTGTATACATTAGCAACGAGGTAATAGGAATCACGTACCAGACAAGAAGTATAAGTCGACAAAATAGAAGTGCTTAGTACGAGGTTGTAGAGATTATTGAATTTCACTGAATTCGTAAACCGATCTAAGTTAGATAACTATTAAAAACCTGGAAGCATTAGACGGCCGTTCCGTCTGTGGTTCAGTAGTGAGCATCCACGACCCCTCATGCATGGTTCGAATACAGCACCTCCAGTCTCGCATGCGAACACAACCATTAAACCCCTGGACTACTGAGCTGGCATCTAACGGTGTTAATTTCTAATCTCAATCAATCCACAATATCGTGTGATCATCTTCCATTGCCTTTGGCAGGTAGCTGGCTCACACCTGACACAGTCAAACTCCACTAGTCACGGTTCCTCACTAGAACACAGGGACATTTCCTCCCGAAGCTAGTCACCAGGGTGCACATGATAATTTCCAATAGAGATGCCGGTTCTGGGTTCGATTCCTGCTTCTGGGGTCGTGGATACGCACTGTTGAGCCCCAGATGAAACGGCCATCCAATGCTTCCAAGCTTTTAATGGTAATTTAACTTAGATCGATTCGTGATTTCAAAGAAGTCATCAATTATCTGTGTGAGATAATCTACTAGACAGGAATAAAATTAATGCTATGGACAAAAACTTCAATGGTTCCTATCATTAAATGAACCAATAGACATAAAGCAAACATTACTGTTACTCACCAAAACAATAATTAATCGCAGTTATGAGATCAAATGAACAGTATACAATAATCTCATCACATTGTTGTCAGGTTCGAAGAATCACACATGAGAAAAAAACCGATCATTTATTACTAACACCATAGTTGTATGATTCAAATCAAAAAGGAACATACAGACAGGTGCTAGTTACAAAAGACCTCAAATTACAAACAGTTTTAGCCATACAATGCATTTAGTCCATTCTAAATAAAACAATTTATGTAAGCATAATACATAGTTAAAAATGAAGATAGGGAAATGCTAATCATAATAAAGAGTGAAGAACATGAACAAGAAAAGTAAGCCTTTTCAAGTATTGTTCTTCTCATTATCGCACATAGAATACGGAATAAAAGCCGCTTCATGGAATTTTATACAGATATTCGCATGGAAACAAGATTTGCTATCGAAATGTACATTTTAAATGAAATACCATTATGAATTGAAATACATTCTACATAAAAAATCACTGAAAGCTACTTGGATATTTCGTTTTAGTTTATTCGTAAGAATTTCTTGATTGTACACACATAATGGATGATGTTGAAGAGATTGTAGACAATAAGATTTCGTAAATGTTGAGACTTATGATTAGCAATAATCCCAATCGAATCTGTTGTCAGTTTATGGTAAAAATTCTCTCTCAGATCAGTATCTACATAAGATAGTTCATTTCTAGGCAAACAAAATTTTTCCAATAGTTGGGATCATGAGTCAATTGAAGCTAGACAACAATGAAAAACCTGGAAGAATAGGATGGCCGTTTCATCCCATTGTGGCACTCCTCAGCAGTGCGCATCCACGATCACGCCCCTGCCAGATTCGAAACATAGATCTATCAGTCTGGCACACGAGCGCTTAACCTCTAGACCACTGAACTGGCCGTTATCCAACGGTGTTAATGTCTAACTTCAACTAATCCACGAAATTCGCAACATCCTCCAGTGTTGCAAACATAATGGTATCCACATGGGACTGTGGCAAAACAAGACTGGTGAACACGTATCACGCAACCAAACTAGTGAATGGCTATTCAAGTTTTGTTTTTTTACAAATTAACAAACATATCTTAAATTCATTTTAATAATAAAACAATCACTGGCATAGAATAAGGTGCGTTTTATTTCTCATACATCACTCTATCTGCTATGAAAGCATATATATATCATTTAGTTATGACTATCATTTGACGGAAAACCCCCTTGAGATGACATATTATTTAATCTTCCTGACAAAAATAGGGAACATTTGTAAATGAGCTCCTTTAAATTAAATATAGGGACTCATTTTTGGACTATATAAATGAAGCTTTAAATTCCATTCCTGGTAAACTAATCATGATAGTTGCATAAATATTTTCCACATGGATTTCATCAAATGTTCTTGAAAATAAAACTCGTTAAAAGCCTACGAACTTACTCAGTAACCAGCCTGTGTACAACCATTCCTTACTGATCATGAACGGAAAAAAAGAATAATACCTGAATAAACTTCACTGAACTCATTACGAAACAATTTAATAAGGAGGATCAAAAGCAGTTAATAAGAAATGATCAAAAACTGAAATTTTCTCCTAGACAATTAAAATGTGAAATTCAGAAAGAACAATATTGAAAAACAATAAAATCAATAATAAATCTAGTTACCATGTCAAAATAAAAAAAGGACTTACCTTTTTTATCAAAGTCAATAAAAGATCCTTAATGGAATAGAATTTTAGAATTGAACACACCAATTTAATCCACAATATAAAATATATGATAAATGAATTCTTATTATAAATAAAAGCATTTTCTAAACCAATAATATAAAAGATTTTTAAACCAATCAAATGATTTTAAAAATTTGACCTCCCCCTAATCTAAAATATTTATCTGGTTTTTGATTGGTTCATTGACAATCATGACCTTTGTGCATGGTTAAAGATAATAATAATAATAATAATGGGTGACTAGGTGAATCTAGGTCAACTTAATAAATCATATATGGAAACATTAGCTTTGTTCCTTTTTTAAATGTTTAAGTATTAATGCTTTGTTTAATCTTTCTTTGCTGACGAATGCCAAATAACAGGAAACCTGGGTCTAGGGGTGTCTTGTTGACTAACTACCCCCAACCACCATTTTATTCTTTCCTGCACGTGGGATCTAGAGGGTATTCATAAATGATAAATTATTGGTTACAATTATTATTATTATTTAGCTTCAATGAATTTAACATGAATCAAAACTTCAACACATGATGTAATTGTAACTCAGCAAAATACATTGAGCCAAGCATAAAACATTTTTTTTTATTGAGATCATGAATTGATTGATGCTAGACTAGTATTGAAAACCTGGAAACACTGAACGGCCGTTTCGTCCTAATATGGGATTCCTCAGTGATATGTGCTCGTGACACTGCACGCGAGATCCGAACCCAAGATCTCCAGTCTCTAGCGCGAACACTTAAACTCTAAACCCTTGAGCTGGTATCTAACGGTGTTAATACGCGCGAGACCGAAGATCCTGCATTTGAATCCCGAGGGTGGTATAGTGGATGTGCGCTTCTGAAGAGTTCCATACTAAGACGAAACGGTCGTTCAATGCTACCACGTTTTCAATGATGGCCTAACATCAATCGATTCATGATCTTAATTAAAAAACTTAACCACCTTCATTACCCCATACTAATAATTACAACGTGACAAGCTTCGTGACGGAATTCTCGGAGTTCTAGAGAGAAGTTGTGACTAGTGAAGCTAATGCATGACAGGTATCTACTTCGGACAATGGAAGATGTTCGCGCAATTTTGCGGATGTTTTATTTTATTTACATGCATTGACAGATTACGCAAATCAGTGTCAATAAATGAAACATTCTATTTGATGTAGAATAGCTGATAAATCAGCTTTCACCAAACCAACAATTAAATAATGAATGAGACTCAATTTCAACACACAATTCTTCATTCATGTAATAGATAACTACTGTTACATTAAATAAGGATAAATTTTCAGGTATCTCCCATTCAGTTCATTGAACTGCTAGTGTTCATCACATAAAATGTAACAAAATAAGATAGAGAAGTGTCGTTATAAAGATAGGTACCATTTGTAATTCTGTAACCTGACTCACATATTTCGGATTCCAGTGAGATTAAATATATATGGTAGGTGAAATAATACCAACGTTAATTGAAGTTATCTATGGAACATGAAAATAATTACTCGAATGTTTTATGACGAAACCGAAACATCTTGTACTATGTCCTAGTGTCGTTGCTTTCATAAAAGCTTCCCAATATGTGAATAGTTTGATGTATACTTTACTGATTACTACTGATATGATCCATTCCTCTGTCCTAGATTCATACATAACCTTATCTTAGTGTGTACAATTGATAGGAATTAATGGATATACATTCGTGATGTTTCGTCAGATCAGCAAATCATTGTCGACCAGTTATTTCGATGGAGTTTTGTTCTCCGTGCTGAATGGTTTGGTCGTAGTAGAAGTCTAATTGAAGTTTATGCTGATGATGTCGTTCAGAAGAACGATGAAAGCTCTACTACTACTACTACTACTACTACTACTACTACTACTACTACTACTACTACTACTACTACTACTACTACTACTACTACTACTACTACTACTACTACTACTACTACTACTACTACTACTACTACTACTACTACTACTACTACTACTACTACTACTACTACTACTACTACTACTACTACTACTACTACTACTACTACTACTACTACTACTACTACTACTACTACTACTACTACTACTACTACTACTACTACTACTACTACTACTACTACTACTACTACTACTACTACTACTACTACTACTACTACTACTACTACTACTACTACTACTACTACTACTACTACTACTACTACTACTACTACTACTACTACTACTACTACTACTACTACTACTACTACTACTACTACTACTACTACTACTACTACTACTACTACTACTACTACTACTACTACTACTACTACTACTACTACTACTACTACTACTACTACTACTACTACTACTACTACTACTACTACTACTACTACTACTACTACTACTACTACTACTACTACTACTACTACTACTACTACTACTACTACTACTACTACTACTACTACTACTACTACTACTACTACTACTACTACTACTACTACTACTACTACTACTACTACTACTACTACTACTACTACTACTACTACTACTACTACTACTACTACTACTACTACTACTACTACTACTACTACTACTACTACTACTACTACTACTACTACTACTACTACTACTACTACTACTACTACTACTACTACTACTACTACTACTACTACTACTACTACTACTACTACTACTACTACTACTACTACTACTACTACTACTACTACTACTACTACTACTACTACTACTACTACTACTACTACTACTACTACTACTACTACTACTACTACTACTACTACTACTACTACTACTACTACTACTACTACTACTACTACTACTACTACTACTACTACTACTACTACTACTACTATACTACTACTACTACTACTACTACTACTACTACTACTACTACTACTACTACTACTACTACTACTACTACTACTACTACTACTACTACTACTACTACTACTACTACTACTACTACTACTACTACTACTACTACTACTACTACTACTACTACTACTACTACTACTACTACTACTACTACTACTACTACTACTACTACTACTACTACTACTACTACTACTACTACTACTACTACTACTACTACTACTACTACTACTACTACTACTACTACTACTACTACTACTACTACTACTACTACTACTACTACTACTACTACTACTACTACTACTACTACTACTACTACTACTACTACTACTACTACTACTACTACTACTACTACTACTACTACTACTACTACTACTACTACTACTACTACTACTACTACTACTACTACTACTACTACTACTACTACTACTACTACTACTACTACTACTACTACTACTACTACTACTACTACTACTACTACTACTACTACTACTACTACTACTACTACTACTACTACTACTACTACTACTACTACTACTACTACTACTACTACTACTACTACTACTACTACTACTACTACTACTACTACTACTACTACTACTACTACTACTACTACTACTACTACTACTACTACTACTACTACTACTACTACTACTACTACTACTACTACTACTACTACTACTACTACTACTACTACTACTACTACTACTACTACTACTACTACTACTACTACTACTACTACTACTACTACTACTACTACTACTACTACTACTACTACTACTACTACTACTACTACTACTACTACTACTACTACTACTACTACTACTACTACTACTACTACTACTACTACTACTACTACTACTACTACTACTACTACTACTACTACTACTACTACTACTACTACTACTACTACTACTACTACTACTACTACTACTACTACTACTACTACTACTACTACTACTACTACTACTACTACTACTACTACTACTACTACTACTACTACTACTACTACTACTACTACTACTACTACCAGTTACCACAAAAACTAACTGTAGGTTTTCTTCGTACTTGTTTCCAACACTCTTGTATCAGCACAGTACCCCAAGATGTTGGATAATTTTGTCTAATGTCATATTACAAAATTATGCAATAAAACTCAATTAATACTATTTGTTAAATATCTCAGTATCAATTATTGATTGATTACTGGATGGTAATCGATGTCATTTATGTCTGGTACCTCTTAGTGCAGATCGAATCCTATCGGCCAAGTTATAATGTAGCCAATAGTCTAGGTGACTCAACATTGTATGCACTATGTTGAGATAAGATGATGTTTGGAGATGGTCAGCAGGAAATCCTGAACCTAGGTTTGGTGCTATTTTGCACTTGTCAGCAACACAGTGAAACTTAGATGATCAGTGATTTAGTCTAATTGTCATATTACAAATTAATCAATAAAACTCGATCAATACTAATGGTTAATTATCTCAGTAATGATTATTACTCAATAACCGATTCGTTCTTTACATTTTATCTAAAAAAATTATATTGAACAAAAGTAATTAAATAACAGTAAAAAAGAGTATAGAAGAGATCAAACCCATCTATATTTTGATATAAGAAGAATACAATGATACGTACTGGGTTCGAATCTTGCGAGGCCGGATCGTGAGTGTGCACTGCTAAGGAGTCTCATACTAGGATGGAATGGCCGTCCAGTGATTCCAGATTTTCCATGGTGGTCTAACTTCAGTTGACTCATGAATTTAATTATTAAGTTAATACAATGAATGTTTCATGAATTGTAACAATATTATTGTGATGATCAAACTTTGTAGATAGAAACTGAATGTACTTCAAGTTCGAATTGTTATGTTATTATTTTGTATTGTAATGTAGTATTGTTGTCCTATTTAGATTCTTAATCGTTTTTGTTGTATTGTGTTAATGTTAACTGATGTTAACTAAGGTTTGATTTGATTATTTTTATATTATGATATAATTTTGGGAGTAGGAAACTGTTAATGAATGTGTAGAGAAATAAAATGAATTCATAGGAATTCGCTCAAGTTGTTGGTTAAGTGTTTTACCAAGTCGATAGTGGACGAGCACTGCTGAGGGGTCCCACATTAGGATGAAACGTCTGTCCAATCCTTCTAGATTTTCCATGGTGGTCTAGCTTCAATTGACTCACGATCTCAACTATTAAGATTGATTATTATTATTATTATTGATGGCTTTATTCAATATTAGGTTTTCGGTACAATATAGAATTCTCAGCACAAAAAATTTCAACAAAATTCCGATTCTTATTTCTCGGTCGATCCTGACGATAACATAATGAGTGATCGCCAGTTAGATGCTAGCAGTTCAGGAGTCGACATCTGAATAATGCATATTCATTGCGCTGTATATTGCCAGCGACCACGATGGCTCTGATTGTGCACTTTTGTGACTTGTGCAGTTTTACTGTATGGGGTGGAAACTTAGAGAACTGCGAAAGTCATCATCTAGAACATACAAGTGTTTATTAACAGTTGTCTACGCAAAATATTTCGGATCTGTTGGCCAGACAATATCAGCAACAACCTACTGTGGGAGAGAACAAACCACATTCCAGTGGAGGAAGAAATCGGTTAGAAGCGCTGCAAGTGGATAGGACACACATCGAGGAAAGCACACAACTGTGTAACAAGGCAAACCCTCACATTAAATCCTCAAGGCCAAATCAGAAGAGGAAAATCACATAACACATTACGCCAAGTAATGGAGACAGACATGAGAAGAATGAATAACAATTGGATAGAGCTTGAAAGGTAAGCCTCGGATAGAATGGGTTGGAGAATGCTGGTTGGTGGCCTATGCTCCATTGGGAGTAACAGGCGAAAGTAAGTATGTAACAGCGGGATGCTGTAAACTTTTCATTAAACGCACCTGAATATGTTGTGCGATTAATAGTCATAATGATGTGTTAAAACAAGCAAAAACAGATAACTTATTGAAATATCTATAGGGCAGAAACTAGTAGCCTAGATGTTCAATCAATTTTTTAATGAATCGTGAACAAGTACCGACTTCAAAAAATTTCAAACTGGATATTCTATACAAATCAGTGTGAATTAATTAGAGACAACATTGTTTGATTGAATGTTAGTTCTGACTTAAATAATTCACTGATAATGTCTTCATTTGTGGTACAAAGTGACATGAATTAACTTCCCCGATATAATATCACAGATGAAGACAAATTGCAACCATCATATAACATTTGTTTAGAGAGATTCTTAACAATTGCTTCGAATAAACTTATTGATAAACAAAGTATTATGCTAAAGCTTTCGACAATTAAACTGAAACTTTGAAACGTAAGCTATTCATTAGGAATTCATGATGACTATAAACTTGTTATGGAAGACCATGACATGGCTCAGAATCGATCACAATGGCGTCGGTGTATACACTCTTTGTCTACCCTTAAACTATGAAATTAAAACTACTTTATTATCTTTCTTTCTACCAATTAATTCTTCCTTCCTGTACTATGTCATTATATGTAATCTTTCTTTTATATATTACCCCCATTGAATTAACTACTTCTATGAATTCGGTGTTCGTCTTGTTGTGTTAATGAGGTGTGGCAAATTGGACCGATGCATATATGTGCCTAGTTCTACGTTGTAGCTGACCGATTGACTGATGTTTTTATTTAAATCTTTAATATAGTCACAGAAGTTTAATGATTAAAGAATTCCTCTATTTTACTTTGTTTACTGAATTATAATTATTTTAGACAAAGTCATTCAGCGAATTTATATGTGGATAATGGTTGTCATTCTGTTGTCATTATTGAAATGCAAATAAACTTCATGTAAATTTAGCATTAACTTCGCCTGTATCTCTTCTAGAGTTACTGTCTGTCCCGAACCCACGCAAAGGTGGAGGGTTGGGCATGGGATCGGCAACCCTATCCCGTAGAAAACAACCTTGCTAAAAAAAACAGTAACCAGAATTAAATTTAAAGTAATTCTAACAATCTAAGTAACCAATGATCATGTTCACATGTAAAACATTGTACGCTGTTGAGGCTATCAACAATCATATTCAAAAACCTAAACTTTGTGTTTAAAAATATAGTTGATACAACCTGACCCTTTCTTTCTACAATGATCATCAATATCAGTCGCATATAACGTTAAGTTATCATGTTAATCTGATGAATCCTTCTTTCTGAACTATTCTAAATTGTTTTCTCATTTATGTCCTTACGTAATTTTAGTATTTATCCCTTTGTTCTTACATAACATACATTGATTTGTTATTCAACCATACTTACTTACGCCTGTTACTCCTCGTGAAGGAACATATGCCGCTTACCAGCATTCGCCATCCAACCCTGTCCTGGACAATCCTTTCTAGCTCCTTCCAGTTGCTATTCATCCTTTCCATATCTGCTTTTATTTCCCGACGTAATGTGTTCTTTGACCTTCCACTTTTCCGCCTTCCTTCAGGATTCCAATCATAATAATTATTTAATTTGTTTACTATATTTTATGTAATCTGCCAATTATTGATTAGGATTTTTTCAAGTGATTACTTCGGTTATTATGTAACTGCATTGTCCTTCTATTTCCCATTACTTGGTCATTTAATTTCAGTGTCATAATCACTTGTGGAATAATAATAATAATAATAATAATAATAATAATAATAATAATAATAATAATAATAATAATAGAATCATGGTAAAGCCTTATTGGTAAGAATTATTCCTTTGGTTTTGTTATAACTCTCGGTTTTACTTCGTCTACGCGTATGGGACGTTAATTTGCATTAGACGAATGTCTACACTAGATCCCCACCTAATGTCTATTCTACAGGACTTCGACAGAACTCAGATCAAAACGTAAATATATTTCCACACCAAAAAACCGACAACAATCTAACAACAATGAACAATCAATCATTATCATCCTCACCCACACCTCAGGTTTATTGATCTTTTTTACTATATTAGGCAAATCTAGACTTGATACTCTTAAAATAACACCTATACCGCTGACCTTGTTGTGTCCTTCGTACGAGATAACATAAATGGAACATATTAATAGTCGTTATTGACGTAATCATCAGCACTCACCTTATCTAGGTCAGAGAATACAACTACATCAATAAACATCCACTTGAGCTCCAAATATTCTCCATCATTTCAAAAATGTTCTTCATGGTTTAGTGAAATAAAACTTCAGTGTTCGATCTCTACATATTTTGACTACACTTTTTTCAGAAATATATGAGGAGTCTACAGAAGGATAGAAAGGAACTATATCACGAAGTGACTCGGCATTTCAAATATCAATCGGGGGGTCATATGGTGATTGAGAGTTTAAAAAAGTGTAGTATCATAGTTGTCTCTCATACTCCTCATATTATGAAACACGACGCTAGGCAGTAGTACTGTATCTGCTATACCGAGAACTTACAAAGTATTCACACAACACATATACATAGTCTTCAACTGTCCATTTGTATCATCCGGTGTGTCCTGCCATTTGAACTGTCTTGTCGTATGTTCTTCGAGTGTTCTGCCGATGCCTTGCTTTTGATGCAATGACATTTTTCACTCCGTTTGACAATTATAACAACTTCAACGTCATGTTCTGCTACACACTACTTACAAACAATGTTGTGAGTAGTGTCCACTACAATATCTCTAACCAATAAGTCGTCGTCATTCTCTTATTCTTCTCTAACTTCTAGATCATTATTGTAATCTCCTTTTGATATTTTATTTCTTCGATCACTTTTTAATGTTATCTCTTGATATTCTTCTATAGCCTCAAATGACTATTAAACACATATTCTTGTGTATATGATTTATGTGTGTGTCACAATGAAGTCTAAAGTTAGGATGAAATTGAAGTCTGATATGGACTGGATTTCAATAACTCACCAGTTATGATAATAACTTTATTGTATTTTACCTTTCTGAATATGAAGTCCATGAGAAGTACAGAAGACAAATACTGATAAAACAGTTCAAAATATAATCTTAACAGTTGAGATCATTAGTCAATTGAAGCTAGACCATCATGGAAAACCTGGAAGCAATGGACGGTCGTTTCATTAATTGACTTATGATCTCAATTATTCAAATTGCTATAATATGCACAAAAACTCCTTCTGATATTAATCAACATATGCTCACTAGTGACTGGCTTCAAGAGTTATTTCCTAGAGTTCTAATGAGAAGCAGTGATCAGCGGAGTTGAACCGGGTCTGTTGTGAAATGGTAACTCAATGAAAACAATGGTAGATGTGTCTCTCGATTTCGTGGATTAGTTTAATTTAGATATTAACACTGTTGGATATCGACCGGATCAGTGGTCTAGAGGTTAAGCATTCGCGCGCGAGACTGATAGTTCCTAGGTTCGAATTTCGCGAGGTGGGATCGTGGATGCGCATTGCTGAGGAGTCCCACAATAGGATGAAAAGCCCGTCCAATGCTTCTAGATCTTCCGTGGTGGTCTAGCTTTAATAGACTCATGACCTCAACTATTAAAATTACTATAATATCCACAAAAGCCCTTCTGATACAAAATATAATCCTTAAAAAAATGTCATCTCTTATTATGATGTCCTCAAATCCGCTTTATAGATAGTGTTATAAATATCGACTAAGGTGTGTGTATTATTAATTTCCCACCTTTCTATGGATTTTCTTTCTCTCTTTTCCCCTGTAATTAAAGCAACTTAACCTCATTTAACCCCGTTTATCTAAAATGTTCCATTCATTTAAAGAATTGTTTAAAAGGTTTTCTTCTGTAGTTCATTTCACTTCATCATTGGGAAGATTGATTAACTAATTATAGTGTAATCGATGAAAATGGGTTTGATTTGTACTACTGATTCGATAATCAAATTATATTGTTCTTGTCATGAGAATATGTTTATTCCGGTAAGATTACGATTAAGGTTATGGGTACAAAGAGTTGAAATACTTTGAACTGAGTAAATCTGCCAGGATAGAAAGAGAGGTTTACTTCCATTGATTTTGACTTACCAACTGAACAGACATAAATATCACTTATGAAGACGAATATCTAAGCATGGATTACATGTGGTTTTCAAAATTATAATATTTTTAAAACATGGATATACAACACTGTATATGTTAAATACAATAACACGTTTCAATGAACTACCACTCCTTGTTCCACAACCACCTCAAAAATTAATGTTTTACTAAATTGGTTGTTAAGCACAACTCTCTCAGGTTCACTTCATCATCAATCACTTGAACAGAAAGTCATAGATCGTAATGTACAAGAAACCGTTTCATTTCTAGTTTCCGTCAGTAACTTGTTGCAAATAGGATGAGACTGTCGTCATGTGTTGCACTACCAGTTATGTTCCGTCCATTCTACATCAATTCAATATGATGTTTGGTTTATGTTGTGATGTTCTGATGTATGGTGTTTCACCAACTTCCTCACTTAAAACGAACCCAATTTATGAATGACATTTGGATAACCACATTCAAACGTGTTTCACTTAACTAATAATCAATCATATGAATTTGACCTTATTGAGTTCATATCATGCTGAGTAACGCGAGTATTTAATGATGTTTGTCATGCGATTGTTCTGTTAAAATGACAATCGATATTTCGTTGAAATGTATATTGAAATATTGATCGGTGTAGATGAGTGTTACATCATTGATGAATTCTGAATGATGGTTTGCTTAGTACATCAGTGAGCCAGAATCACAGTGAGCAACCTAGTAAGCAAACAAACAGTGTATATATGTGATTGGTTTATTGATGGTTAAGAGAACTACTGAGAGGTTTGTTGTGAATAGAGAAGCATTGTAGTGGATGTTGATGGTTACTGTGAAACATGTTTATAGAATGAATGTTGATGATTGCCAGTGGATTTGAGGAATAGTGTTGTGCTACCACTATTGGACTGTTTACTTGATTGAGTTTTGATGACTAATTTGAATGACATGACATGACACCGCAGGTATTGGTCAATGCAAATGATGCTACTCAACCATTTAGATAAGTGAAGTGATTTGATGTTGTCTATGGTGAGTGATTGGAATCGAATGATGTGAGATTGTGAACTCGTTTGTGAATGTCCTTTCTAATTGTAATTTGAGTAATGGTTATTTGTAAGAATAATATTTCTCTCACATCCATGTAATACCGATGTATTTTGTTTTTCCAAAAATAATATTGATGATTGTTATCCATAGATAGTTTTGCTTTTTGAGGGGTAATTCATCCTTATTACATTTAATAATCTGTTATTTTGATGCCAAATAGCTTATTTATTATGTCAGTTGATGTGCAATACATGGTAAACGTTTTTACTATACACAATGATCTTTTCGATTCGAATGTGTGTTTTGTTTGTTTCTTTGGAAATACTGTCGAATAATCTATAAATATTGATTGATCAGCTGAGAAGAGTTCATTAATTAATTGAGCCTTGAAAATCAAAACATGATTATGGAATCAATCCAAAATCAATATTATTGATTACCTGTATAGTTTATTAGTTCCTGGAGTTTCAGCCTTGTTCAGTAGTATTTAGTATTTAGTATGATATAAGATTAACGTAACATTTATAAAGTCTGTATGAACTCTTTTCAATTTTGAAATGTTTTATGCTTGTTTAACAATGTAACTATGTATTCACTATATTGTAGTGACCTACTTTTATTAAGAGAACGCGATTGGTTTAATGGAAACAATTATTATTATAACCAATTGTACCAGGGATTGTTTTACTGTACTTGCTTGTTTATCTGTACTAAAGACTTTCTTGCTTCCTTTGGTTGTGACCTTGCAGTAACCACACTTGTACTCCTTTGGCACGATCTCGGTATTCTTCTGATACGACGAGATCGCCAACAAATACATCTCGACTGCAGCCATCAACTGCCTTCTGATATTTGGCTTACGGAGGATCTTATGGGTTAACTGTCATATAGTCTTCCTGTAGTGGCGATCATAGTCAACCGCGACTCGACGCCGCACTACAATCTTCGTACATTTATTAAGAATACCTTTGTAGTTAGTTATCGTATATATAGAAGTGGGAAATATATGATGAACGTTACTTACTTACTTACTTACGCCTGTTACTCCCAATGGAGCATAGGCCGCCGACCAGCATTCTCCAACCCACTCTGTCCTGGGCCTTCTTTTCTAGTTCCATCCAATTCTTGTTCATTTTTCTCATGTCTATCTCCATTTCTCGACGTATTGTGTTCTTTGGTCTCCCTCTTTTCCTT